CTAAGTTTTAATTAGAAAGAACACTTCTAAATACTAATTGGAAGGAGGAAATATCTTTTTCTGTTTATAATTCCTTTTCACTTTATGAGTTATGTTAAACACATAATTATCCTTATTTGACAGGAGAAAATGTTGCTTGTGCTTTTAAATTGGGACTAATTTACACTTTTTCAAAGTTTATAGACATTTTAAATAATCACACTAAGACTTTAAGTTGCAAGAAGAAACAAAATATCTCAAGGCAAAAACAATGAAAAAACAGTAACAACAAAATAGATAAAAAACAAGCAAAAAAAAAAATTCCTCCAAAAACTTCGAAGTTAAAGTAGCCATGTCAGATGTGAATTTTTTTTTCTTTATTTTATAGAGACCATTATTTTATTTCAAAATTGATCGATTCATTAGAAAATATTGAAAAACTGTATTTTAACATATTTCCCTGCTTTCCATTTTTGTGTCCTTTTGTAAAAATGCTTATTTTTTTAGTATAGTTGATATACAATATTATATTGGTTTCAAATATACAATATGGTGATTTGTAAAAATGCTAAACTTTAAAAATAGAAAGTCACTGACAAATATTAGATTTAAAATGCAATATGTTTTCTGGAGATTTATCCAAAGGAGTTATTCTAAAAGAGAAATAAAGTTATTGCCCTAAAATACCTATTCAGCACTACTTTCAAAAGTAAAAAATTTGATGTAACATATCTACAAATAATGATTAATGATTAACTTACATCTACTAGACTAAATGTTACAGTTGACTAAAAATTATAGTTATGAAAACTTTGAGGCAGCATGGGCAAACGATTACGGTATAAGAGCAAGTGAAAAATTAAGACAAAACTAAGATGACAAAATATAAAAAAACTATTACAAATGGACACTGAAAAATATTTAAAAATAAAATTAATTTTGTATGACGATGGAATTTTTTTCACTTATAAATTTCTTAGAAAATTGCTTTACTCAAAATTTTCTCTCTACAAATATTTGCATGTTCACATTGAAGGAAAATGGATCAGAATCCCATCCTTAAAATGGAGTCAAGTTTCAGTGTTTCTGATTTCAGAGAACTGAATTCAGTAACTGGAGCAAACACTTCTCCAGGAAAAATGAAGGAGGAAGAAGGGAACAAAAAGAAGTGTCACAACAATAAGTGTAATAAAATATTGTTAATAATTATTAAAGAAAATTTATCCTGCAGCTTTATTTTTAACTTACAAACTAAATTCTGCATTGAAGATTAATTTTTCTCAAAGAAGCTGTGTAGAAAAAAACTGGTAACAAATACAATGTTTATCAGTCATTTTTATAGTAATAATAAAACAAGACAAAACAAAGAAAAGGAGGATGATAGATTATGGCATTTCAAGTTGGCCCCTTCCTCTCCCTAACCTAGCAATGTTGAGTCTTGACAAGGAATAACCCTTCTCTCAGGTTAATTTTAGTGCTGGGCTCACTCAGAGAGAGATGAAGCACCAATCAGCATCATTCAGTACCCCCAACCCCAGCCTAAAATAGCCAGGTCACTGAGGCAAAACTGATTTGGGGGCTAAAAAGGTTTGCACCTTGCCCTAGCTGCCTCTTCTATCTTGTGTTCTTGCGGCCTCTGACTACACACAGAAGCCCGGGGGGGAGAGGGGAGGGGCACGGCTTAGAATTCTGTGAAACATTTGACTTTTAAAAAGAACTCATCACTTTCAATTTAGCAATTGGTACATTTTTAATTTAATATTTATATTTTCTCCTCTGTCATCTTAAAACATTAAAAAAACTAATCTTAGCTAACATTTAGACTTCTATTACATTTTAAAATGGAAAACATCAACACAAAAGTGAACTAAATTCAGTGATTACTTTTAAAGTTTTTGGTTCCCTTTGAATCTAGGATGGTAAAAGGGGAACTGCATTTCACAGGCATTTAGAGTTTTGGATAGAGATTTTTGTGGGGTGTAACTTGCTTTTGTTTCAGGAATGAAAGGATAGGGTAGTTAGGTATGTTCCCCAGGGAGAAACACTGAGAGGTACTACTATTAATTCCTGGAAATTTAAATTAGATGAAAGAAACAGTATTTGAAAGTTTCTGTGAACTGGTATGCCCTGCCTAGTACCCCCTCTTTTCCCCAATATAACAGAAAAGACTTAAGGAGATTGGGGCTCCTACTTAGGAAAAGACCAAGGCACAGAACAGCCTTTCTGAGACCATCTTTTAGCCCTTTCAAAAGTCCCACACATCATTAGGAAAAGTCCCCGGGCAACAGACAGATATATTCTGGCCAAGATCAAGATAAATTTTTTTTCTTCTGTACTCTTAATTTTCCTTTGAATTCTCTTTGCTCTTGCTCTGCAGTTTGCATTAGCTTGTTTCTTCATCAAAAATTTTTTTTTACTGAATGCCTACTATGTGGCAGGCACCGTTTCCAGCTCTTCGATTTGTGTTAAAATTATGTTTATGGTCAAGAGCTTAAGATTTAACAGTCACAAATGGGGGGAGGGGTCGAAGGAGGTGTAAGGGGTAAGACATGTCTCCCACCTTCTTGGATAGGAAACACTTTTTCCCTTCCTACTCAGCAATAGCCTATAGTATTTTAATTTGTTGTCCCGTGGGAAGGAAAAAAATCACGAAAACAATTCGACAAACACGTGGCTGGCTAGAACAAAACACGGATTTGGAGGGTGGGTTTTGAAGGTAGTGGAGAGAGGGAAACTGAATTGGAAGCCCGCCTGCGCCCCCACATCCGAGCCCCATTTCTTTTCAGCGCGCGGGGGGAACCGGGAGGGGGACAAAGGTGCGGCATGTCCTCTTTTAACTCCCAACTTTTTGAATGGTCTAAGATCGTCTGGCAGCAGAGCGGTGCGCCGAAGTAGGAGTCAGCTCACTGACTCTGCAAACAAAAAATAATAAGAAAAAATCCAAGGCATTTATATCGGTGTAGCCAACACGTGTTGCGGAGTCGGCCCGGGCCGCAGGCGACTGAGACAATGGGGTCGGGGACAGGGAAAGGGAGAGTGACCCCCTTCCTCACCTGCCCTCGTAGCTCGCTTGCCCCCGAATTATTTCTCCCTCCCGCAGAATCCGGCGCAAACCCCGAGCTTCCCCCCAGTTCAGAGACACTGGCATTACTGGGGGTCCACCCCCTATTCCCCAGGTTCCCTGGCCAAGGGCGCTCCAGGGTCCCCGGGGAACTACTCCCTGGCGCTGTCCCAGCCCCCGTCGCTTGAAACTCGTTGGCCTCGCTGGCCACTCGGCCCGGGATCCCGGTTGCGCGCGAACCGCGCGTCCCGCTCTCCGCCGCGTATCCGGGACTCCGAAGCGCGCGGCGAACTGCCCCCTCCCCCACCGCCAAGACGGGGGGGTGGGTGCGACCGCCCACGTGTCGCCCCTGGCCCAGTCGGGTGCGTCCCCCGGGCTCAGGGCCGAAGGATCCGGAACGAGTTGGTCAAAGGCTGGGAAAGGGACCCGGGCGGATCCGCTTCCCCTCCGCAGGAACGGACGGGGGAGGGGAGGGGCCCCGCCGCCCCCTCCTCTGAGCTCCCGCCCCTCGCTACCCTGAGCGCCGAGCGGAAATTACCCCCTCCCCCCGCGGGTCTGACCTGGGGACGTGGGCGGGGCTTCGCGCTCGGCCCCCAGCCCTCGACCCCTCTCCCGCCTGGATCCAAATCCTGCGCCCTAGACAAAGTTCCGAGACCCGAACCCGGCGCGAGGAAAGCTGCTGTCGCCGTCCTGGGTGGGGCGGGCGGGCGGAGGGGACTCCACCTGTCTGCCAGCGAGTCAGGGAAGGAGGGGATCGTTCAGATCTCCACCCGGTCACTCCCTCCCTGAGACCTCCCCCTTTGCTTCGCCCGGGTCGGCTCGCGCTACCACTCCTCTTCCTTCTCTCCACCCCTCCCTCTCCCCTGGGGTCATTTTGGGCCGGAGACGTGTGTTCTCCCCGGACCCCGAGACGTTCTCATTTAATAGCCAAGTCCCGTGTGTGAGCCACCCTTCTCCCGTGGGAATCCTGAAGCACGATTTCCTGAGGATCCCTCGTTCCCAGCCGTGATCCCCCGTGTTCCCAGCTTCCCGCTTCCGCGCTCGTAGGGCCCCCTCGGTCCTGGATTCCCGGAGGCTGGGGCCGGGAAGGCCGGCCGAGACGCCCCACTTAAAAAATCTAGAGGAAAAGCTCCTTTCTTTTTAAATCGTATGCTCGCGCGACCCCCTCCAGAAGACCCCAGAGTCCTCAGCTTCCCTTTGTCTGTCTCGGCCGTCCCCCGCCTGTCAGTAGCTCGCAATTAACCAGGGTGGGGTGGGCACACTCCCCCCACGCCTGAGTAAAATATAACCGTACGTTTTACCCAGAAAGAGGTGGGAGATTCTGGGCCCGACCACCCTCCCCCGAGCTAGGGCCGGGGTTGGGGGATGGGTGGGGGCGGGGCGCCTCCCTAGGGGTCAGATTCTTGCAATGGGGGAGGGGGCAAGCAGGCTTCGGGACCCCCCACCATCCACCCAGTTTACCCCCCGGGTGGGTTGGTGTGCCCCCCGCCCCCAGCGGGAGGTCGGTGGGATGGGCCCGGCCGGAGGGCCTAAGGGCCTAGAGGCGTCGGGGGGTCTTCCCTCGTTCGGTGGGTGGGGGCTTTCACCACGTGGCTTCGCCTTTTTTTTTTTCCGCTCCATTTTTTTTTCAAGTCGATTTTATTTAGAGGCGGCGCCAGGGCGGTCGCGGAGAAACGTGACACACCAGCCCGCTCGAAGGGGATTCGGACTTAAGGGAAGGAGCCGCGCTGCGTCGTCCGCCTCCCAGCGCGCCGCAGGCACTTCTCCCGGGCCTCGCCGAACTCTGCCGCGACCTCCGCGTGCCCTCCCCGCCCCGGGCTGCGGACAACTTCTGGGTGGGGTGCAAAGAAAGTTTGCGGCTGCCGCCGCCCTCCTCCCGCCTCTCGGCCTAGGAGGCTCGCCGCCTGCGCCCGCTCGCTCGGCCTTGCCAGGGATCGCGTCCTGCCCGGAGACCGCCACCATGAACAAGCTTTACATCGGCAACCTCAACGAGAGCGTGACCCCCGCGGACTTGGAGAAAGTGTTTGCGGAGCACAAGATCTCTTACAGCGGCCAGTTCTTGGTCAAGTCCGGCTATGCCTTCGTGGACTGCCCCGACGAGCACTGGGCGATGAAGGCCATCGAAACTTTCTCTGGTAAGAATGCACCCAGCTCCCCGGAAAACCACAACGAAACCCCTGAACAACGGAGACGTGCTCCTCCTCTTTTCCTCGCCCGCCAACTCTCTCCCCGCGGCCTGCGGGGCTCGGCCTCAGTGCCGACCCTCCACCCACCTCCTTCGAGGCCCCCTCCACCCCCCCCCACTCCCCCTTCGCACGGAAATATTCGGCATTGCCTCGCCCCTTCCTTCCAGCCCGAGAAGAGGCTGGGGGCATTCGTGAGGTGACCCCCCCCAAGCCCCACGCCGACGGGGCGGGCGGTCCCCACCGAGGCGACCCCCGTCTGGGCGTTAGTTCCACGTCTGCCGCTCCCTCTCCGAGGCTGGACCCCCGCCCCAGCGCCAACACCCCCAGCCTCCCTTCCTCCGCCCTAGGCCTTTCCAGGCGGGGAAGGGGGTCCCAGCTCCGTTTCCCAGCTCTCGGGTTTCCGCCGGCACTGCCGCCTTCGGGCAGACCTGAGAGGAAGCCTCCCGCCCAGGGCCCGGGGCTTGAGCCATTTTGATTTGAAAGTGGGGCGTGAGCGGGGTGGCGCGGCGGCGGCGCCGGGTCGCCATGCTGCTTCCCGAGACGCCGAGGCTGGGCCGAGAGGCGCGCGCCGCGGCTGCCGGGGACCCTCCCTGCGGGGCCTCTCCTCCCGCCCGGCCCCGACAGGTGACCGCCCCGCTGCCCGAAGCGCTTCTCCTCGGCTGGACGGAAAAATAAAGTTTCATTCCACACCTCCCCCCCGCCCCGACACTTTGGGAGAACCGGGGAGTCCATTCTCTCGGCGCATTCTCCTCGCTGCTGGGAGGGGTAGGGGCAGGCCGCCCACATAAACGCCCTCGGACCTCTCCCAAATTGGGGTCCCAGAGCGATCCGCTGCCCTACTAGCTTCTGTGCTAACGAAACAAAAATTAAGAAAACAGTAATAATTTTATAGATTCCACCATTCCTTAAGCGACCTTTTCGCTTCCGGCTGCGGAACCCACTGCCTGGATTCCTAGGAAGATCTAAAATCCCAGTAACTCTTGAATTGCTCTAATGTGTCCTCCTTTTCCCGCCCCCCACCCCTTAACTCTTACTGTTAAAGCTTTCATACTGCCTTTTTTTTTTTTTTAATCTTTAGGGAAAGTAGAATTGCAAGGAAAACGCCTAGAGATTGAACACTCGGTTCCCAAAAAACAAAGGTAGGAAAGAGCTCATCTGTGGATGTGGGGTGGGGGGAAGCCTGGGGTCGCTAAGAGACTGTGTTCAGGGGTCTATGGTGTCTTCAGTGGAAGAAACCCATTACTGGCCTTCCACCCCCAACTCCGGATGTTGGGGGCAGGGAGGGAAGATTGGCTAAGATCTTGTAATGGGTAGTTTACAGCTTGTAAAAAAAAAAATGCTGAGGCTGGGGTGGGCTTAGAGATGTTACTTGGAGAAGTAAAAGGAAAAAAATCAATAGGGGGGAAACCCTGCAGAGTTTGTTTCAGGTGTGTGGGGAAGCTAACAAATCTTTGGAGTTCTGAGGCATGGACATTTCTGCAACTTCCTAGCAGGCCTCATTTTCTCTTTCCCACTCTTCCCTCACCATAACTCATTAGTGGAATTGGGGAGAAGGGGATCCTGCCCACTCTCTAAGGAGTGGAATGAGTTTCTGCCTCCAAAGTAATTTTTTTGTGCTTTATATTTCTGCAACAGGCAAGGACGTTGTTTTTTTTCACCGACCTCTACCCCTAGTCCCTCACATCACACGTCCTCTGCTCTTAACTGGCTTTTGCTAAGAATATGCTTTGGTTGTACTGTCCTTTCTGAGCCCCCCCACCCCCTTCAACCCATTGTTGCAAGGGGACCATCTGGGGTGAGATCTTTGTGTTCAGACTGAACTGGGACTCTTTGGAGGGTCTAGAACTCCCTGGATGAATGGTGTGTGTGTATGTGTGAGAGAGACACAGTCTGTTTCAATACCTTTCTATCCTCACTTCAGCAAAGTGGATTTATCTCTATCATGTTATCCCCAAATCTATGGTGGATTTCAAATCTTTCATTGAACTCTGGCTGGGAAGTTAAGGACAGAGTCTTCAGCTTTTTGTGACTTTTAAAAACATGTTGGCAGTGCAGAGTTTTTTCATATTGCAGCCCCCAGTAGATCTTTGATCCTCTTGCTTCCCTCCCTTCACTTCACATGGAAACTTGCTACATTTCAGAATAGTCTCTGGCTTTCTGGGTGGGAAGGTGGAGGTGGGTGGGTATACTTTGGAGGCTTTGAAGAGAGAGGTTCTGGAAAGTTTAACCTCAGATAACTGTTGAGAGAGGTTTATTTCGTTTGAGGTATTTTAAGTAACTTGGAACTATTGTATCCATAGATGATCAATATGGCTTGTAACTATGTTTATAGAGCTTGTGATTTAACCTCCAGTGCTTGAAATACTCTTATTGGAAAGGCAATTAGAGTTAGGAGTAGAGGTAATTGGAAGTAGAGGGTCTTATCATTTTGAAACATTTCCTGGAGATGGGAATAAGAAAAAAATGCACACTGACACGAATGGATTTATTGAGAAGATATTTGAACTGAAAGCTGAGTATATGAAACATGTTGATGAGAAATACCTGGAATAGTTGGAATTCTGAAATAAATGGAAATTTTTCTTTTGCCTTCAAGAAGGTTTAAATTTTAAAGGGTAAGAAATGAAAAGCAAAAAACAGCAAAATGTGATGAAATGGAATCCCAAACATTTGTATTTAAATTTTCATGGTCCTCATATTTATGGATCTTTTTCCCTAAGCCATCTGCTTGCTTTCAAGCCATTTTTAGGCTCCTCCTTTTTTCCTTGCAAATGTGTAACTGAGGGCTTTCTTGAGTTGGGAAGGGGTGGGGTTTGTGAGAAGAGTGGGTATAAAATCTTCCACACCCATATTAAATTTGATTTTGTGTGCATTCTCCCCCTTCCTGAAACAATTTTTGAGGACAAACATTGAGTCAGTTATGTGTTTGTGTGGGGTGGCGGTGGTAAGAAGGCACTTACTTTTTCTAGAATGAATCAATTTTTGAAGTTTTAGGATTGAAAAAATTTGTTTTCATGAGGTCAGTTTGCTCTATCATTTTGTGTTCTTTGAAGGGAGCATTTTGTGGTATGTGTTTTTAATCTGAAAAGTATTTCTTTAGTTGGTTTGTTACTGGCTTTTCAATCTTCTGAATGTATAGAACAGGAACTAGTTAAGTAACTGTGACTAATACATAAGGAAAATGAACAACTGTGCATATATGCTTTGTGTTTTCAGTGGTTAGAAAATAGAACTCTTATTAATTTACACAGTTCCAAATGAATTATGACTTGAAGTGTTTCTAAAAGATTCATAAAAACCTAACCTAAATGGTCCTGTTTTTTTTGGTTTGGTTTTTTTAGAGGGGGAATCAAATAAAAGAGAGCAATTACCTCTGAGCAACCCTGATTTTGAAATATTAATACATTCTATTCTAACTTTGTAACTATTTGATAAATACAATTTGTACCTTTTTAAGAACCCCAGAGACTGAACACTATGCATTTAAACTGGAATCATACTAACCTGAATTTTTAAAATGGATAACATTAAATTTCCTTGCGAGTACCTTCACATACCTACCTCCTCTTAGTGTTGGAATTTTGGTCAACAATTACATCTTTTTGCTGAGAATTTGTAATATATTCACTGTGAAATACTAAAACGAAGGAGAAAAACCAAAAGCATTTTTAAAACAGTTGTGGAAAGGGATTTGTAATTGTTTTATTTTGAGAGACTTAAGAATAGTTAAGGTAAAGAGGTACCATTTTAGTGAGACTTGTTTATTTCGGGAGATGACTTGCTTTTTAATGGAATTAAACTTTGGTTCATTTACCCACTGTGTGCCTTTTTCTAGAGGAATGTGACCTAAAGATTGCATGCCTACTGTCAACTGGTATCATCAAAATAAAAGGTGTTGCTGTTAAGAAAGAAATGAAAGAGATGTCTTGCATTTCTCTGTATGAAATGTGTTCAAGACTTTGATTTCCTTAGGTTAATGGTTTTTCTTTTCTCTAAGCTGACATTAAATGAAGTAGGCTTATATTTACAGTTTCCCTTATATTTCCAACTGTTAAACAACAAATAAAAATTGGTCTCAGTCGTGTGTGAGAACTCTCAAAGAAGGAAGTGTTCAAACTTTTTTCTGATTTTACAGTTTAATTTCCTAAAGTTAGCTTTAAAAATCTCTGAGGAGTATCCTGTAAATGGCAAAAATGTTATTATTTTTAAGAGACTTGCAGAGGCTCTAAAGAAATAATTGGATCACTAAATGTTTTCAAAACAAGCAAGAAAAAAGTTGCCTTCAGATATGGATTTGCCTTTAATGAAAATTGTTCTTAGGAACTAAAAATGAATTAGGGGGGTTAAGGAACCAGGGAAGTCTTTTTAAAAAACAAAAGGTGTAAAAAGTACTGGAGGGGGGAGGATTTTCAAGTGCTTTTACTTGAGTGGTTGCAGTTGGAAGGTACATTAGATAGATCTGTGTTCAACAAGTAATTTTAAAGTAGAAATAGTTTGACACTTTCAATAAAGTTTTCTTATTAATATTAGGTTAGGCTTTTTTTGCCTTTAAGTACATTTAGAAAAATGATTGATAAAATTTTCTGCACTGTTTGGAAGAAAGGTGGAAATCAGTTTACTCTCCCCATTTTGATTTCTACCTAGAAAGTAAATTTTACAAATTCATAAATTTTGTATTCTTCACTGCTAGAGAAATCCTTAACTCGTTATCACTTAGTGCTCAGTATTTCAAGATGACTTTTGTAAGGGCAGTGTATTGGCTATCCTGTGGAAGAGCTGTAGAATTCCAGAAGCCTTTAATTTCTGACCTAAAGTACAAAGATGAAAATTTACTCTAATGATTTCCCAGATGGGGAACTCTTGAATAAAGAATTGTAATTCTTATCACTAATTTATTCAAAGTATAGTTAACTTCCAAATGTAAAGTTTTAATGGCACAGCTTATGGTGGAAAAAGCAAAATATTCTTATAATTATATTTCAGAGATGGAAGTGTATGACATTAGCAATTGGAAGATTCTTGATTTAAAGGTTCTGAGCTTCTGATCTTTTTTAAAAAAAATTACAGATCTGGTTTAGTTGAGTGAAAAGGGGGAAACCAGCAAGTGTTATTTGTTGAAGTTAGGGATTTTGTGTTGAAGAGATATGTATAGGTTATACCTGTGTTGGTTTTTGGGTGAGGGGTAGTAGTGGTGGTGATGTCGTTAGGATAAATGTATGAACCAAAGGCGTCTGAAGAACAGACATTTTGCCAGCTGTTAGAATTTAAATTCAGTCGTGTTCGGCCCCCACTCTCTTAAAAGATTCTTAAAATGTGGCTAATGCTTTCCAGAAAGTGCAGCTTAGATTTTGGGATGGGAGTGTTAGGGTAAGAGAAAAGGGAAGGAAAAAAAAAACAGCAGGGGAGACTGGAGAAATCAGAGGAGTTAGTCTTGTGCTGGAAATTCCAGACAGGGAAAAAAAGAGAGGTGGGGGTTGGGTGAGTTTCCCGCTTCCCTTTTAAAGAGAAGCGGCCGGAGGCGCACTGCGACCCGCGCGCGCGAGGGGGGCGATGCAGACACCGGGTTGGGAAGACGGGTGTGGTAGATTCGGCGAAGGGCAAGGCAGTTTTTACTTTCGGAGTTGCCTGCCTTCCCTTCCCTTTTTCAAAAAGCAGAGAAAGTCACGGCGGCGCTGGAGGCGCTTCCTGGAGAGTCCGCGCCTGCCCGGCTGCCCTAACGCTTCCCCGCCCAGCACCATCCTCAGCCCCGCATCCCTGCCCTCCCGGCTTGGGCCCCCGCCTTCTCCTTAGAAAGAGCCCCAGCCAAGGAGCATCCGCAGGCCCGGGCTCCGAGAAGGGCTTCCTTCCCTAGGGTCCCTGAGACCCTTAGTTCGAAGAGCCTCCAGGTCCCAAACATCGCCCACGTGGAGAGTTTCTCCTGCTGCACGGGGCAGACCTTCCCATTGGAAGGCAAAAACAGAACCAGTGGGTAAATCTGAAGATGAGAGAGAGGAGTGTGGGTGGCGAGAAAATGGAGGTGCATGTAGTTATTGCCCTCTCCAAGTAGCTGAGGCCCCTTGGCTATGGAGCGTAGAACTTGAGAGTGAGCAGTGTCAAATAATCTGTGATCCTTAGAAAAATGGACTGTCTCCATGTCCCA